TATATTACGAAACAGGTGGTTACAATTTATGATAGTTTGCTCAGGGAGGTCTCTCTGAGAGAATAACTTTAGGGACATGAAAGAGACAAAATGCAGACTTTGTGGACATTTTGGATTACATCATTCCAGAGGGTGGAGAGTATCAATGCAGAGTCCCCAAAATAAGAGTATTTTTGGAGGCTCTGCAGTTACCGGGGACAATGCTCCAGGCAGAGGGAAGTCCAAGGGTGGAGAATATCAATGCAGAGTCCCCAAAATAAGAGTATTTTTGGAGGCTCTGCAGTTACCGGGGACAATGCTCCAGGCAGAGGGAAGTCCAAGGGTAGAGAGTGGAAAATGGGAAAGAAGCTGACATTTTCAGAACAGCTTAACTGAAAGTAGTGAGTAAAGGAATAATGCAAGGAAGGTCACAGATGTGGTAAGTCAGGTCTGCTGGTGTAGGGCCATGTCTGACATGAGGTGATCAAATCTTGTGAGAATTCCTGGAGGCGGCCTAACAGGAACAAGAGCTCATATTTCAGCATTGGAGACAGAGCCATCAACAAGACAGACCTTGCTAAATGGGCAGGAGAATGTCAGATGACCCTAAAGGTTCTGATGACAGTAAAGTAGAATGAAATTATAGAGATGGGGTGACTCTATGAGATAGGAGAGTTCCCTTGACCCTTGATCCCTTTGCAGGATGTAACAGGGGTGTGGGTTGCTTACTCGGCACCCCAAGCTCAAACTGCTAGCCAGAGTGGGAGCATGCAGGTGAGTGGGTGCAGGAGCCTGGTGAGTGGTGCAGGAATGAACCCTGTACTGGCCTGGAGCAGCATCCAGGGGTTGCCCGCAACCTCTGGAGCCCCGGAGGGCCTGTGTTAAAAACAATGTTTTGTTGGGGTTGTTTTGAGACAGAGTCTCATGCTGTCACCCAGGCTGGAGTGCAATGGTGTGGTCTCAGCTTACTGCAACCTTCGCCACCCAGGTTCAAGTGATTCTCCTGCCTCGGCCTCTTGAGTAGCTGGGACTACAAGCACATGCCACCACACCTGACTAATTTTTGTATTTTTAGTAGAGACGGGCTTTCACTGTGTTGGCCAGGCTGGTCTCAAACTCCTGACCTCGTGATCCGCCTGCCACCGCCTCCCAAAGTGCTGGGATTACAGGCGTGAGCCACCACACCAGGCCAAAAACACAATATTCTTCTATCAGTTGCCTCCCATGGATGGCTAAGTGATAGCCAGCTCAATGGAGAGTCAGGGTGACAGCCTTTTACACCCTGCCCTCTTGGTACTTCGGTTCTTGCCTGGTGTCCAGAAAGGCCAACTTGAAGGATAGTGAATGTGGAGATTTTATTAAGCGGTGGAAGTAGCTCTCAGCAGAAGGGGAGCGGGAAAGGGGATGCTGCGGGAAGAAGGTGATCGTTACCTCAAGCCAGGTCATCTCCACCAGACTCCTCTCCGAAGTCCTGCTGTCTGAAGTTAAGCCACACCCATCCCTAGTCTCCAGCTCAGTTGCTTCTTCTCTCGACTTCGAAGGGCTGTCAGGACAGTGGAGGCGGCCTGGGATGAAGTGGATTACACGGATTACAAATGAATAAGAAAATCTTCGGCCGGGCGCGGTGGCTCACGCCTCTAATCCCAGCACTTTGGGAGGCCGAGGTGGGCAGATCATGAGGTCAGAAGGTCGAGACCAGTCTGGCTAACACGGTGAAATCCCGTCTCTACTAAAAATACAAAAAAATTGGCTGGGCGTGGTGGCGGGTGCCTGTAGTCCCAGCTACTCGGGAGGCTGAGGCAGGAGAATGGCGTGAACCCGGAAGGCGGAGCTTGCAGTGAGCCGAGATCGCACCACTGCACTCCAGCCTGGGCGACAGAGCGAGGCTCCGTCTCAGAAAGAAAAAAGAAGAGAAAAGAAAAGAAATATAAATACAACTCCTAAGGAGAAACATGGACTCTCTACTGCAGAGGGTAAGCCACTTCCAGCTAGAATAAAGGATGGCAATTGTAATGAAAAGCCCAATGATATTTTTGCTTCCTCTGGTAGGGAAGCCCTGTCTTTCCCAGGGTAAGAGAGGAAATTCCAAATACACAAAACTCCGGGAATGAGTTCCAAAGCCCCAAGGCAGTTGAGCTCAAAGAAAGCTCCGCCAGGGAGTCCAGGAGCCTGCGCAGTGCTGGCGGACACTAGATCCCAGAAGGTAACGTGTGGCTGGATACCGACGACTACAACTCCCACAGGCCACTAGAACGCCTGGCTCCGGACGGACGTTTCAGGAGACCGCGGTCCTGGGTCACCGCGTTCCACTCGGACCTGTCGCCTCAGTTTCCAGCCCAGCTTTCCTCCTCTGCCCGTCGGGGGGGACTCACATTCACCGCCTTCTGTCTCCACAATGCGGCTCATCAGGCGGTCCCATATGCCCCTGCGCAGAACTCACCACCTACTTCAGCTCCCAGAGAGCAATGCGCGCCGCGTAATGCATTTGTGCCGCCAACATGTCCCAGAAGCCTTTGTGCCAACATTTTCATCCGGGGACTTTAAGCCAAGAGTCAGCAGCGGGAGGCCTTGGGTATCAGTGAAAGCTGGCTGTAATCGCTGACAGGGTAGGGATATGATAACTGATGTGAGGCATTGGGTGGAGGCCAGGGGTTATTGTTTTATTTGTGATTGCAGGACCCGTAAAACACCCAGTAAAATCAGACTGGCAGCTGGTGTGTCAGAGAGAACCGTCAGATACACATTAAGCCTGCAGAATACAAACATATTTTCTACACAGGGGGTGAGGAGGGAAAGAACTTTGTTTACCTCCCTTGTCCTATCGGCTGACTCCAATAAATTGTACTCAGGGTTTGGATATTAAAATCAAAGCATTCAATGGCTCACTCCTTTAGGCCCAGCTGCTCAGGAAGCCGAGGCTGGGAGGTTGGCGGGAGTATTGCTTGAGCCTAGGAGTTGGAGACCAGCCTGGGCAACATAGCAAAAGCCTCTCTCTACAAAAAATACAAAAATTAGTAGTGACTCACCTATAACTCCAGCTATTCGGGAAACTGAGATAGTAGGATCCCTTGAGGCCAGGAGGCCGGGGGTGCAGTGAGCTCTGATGGCACCACTGCACTCCAGCTTCGGCAACAGAGCCAGACCCCGTCTGAAAAGAAAACCAAAGCAGTAGCCATATCTAGTGGTGGAGAAGACATGGACATTAAGTTTTTACCTTGCTGATGGTGCTGTAATAGATTGAAAAACCACGTTGACAAAGTTTTCCCCTGCTTCATGCAGATCTTTGCAAACAAAACTTTTCCTTCCTGTGGACCAATAAGCAGGTTCAAGTATTTTGCTCACAATAGCAAAATACCCGGAGACGGTCCAGGAAAGAGGATGGATGCACAGGCTTCTCTGCACAGTGCAGCGTTATCCGCAGCAGCCCGACAGTTCTCCGTTCTTAAGGCGGTGGAGTCAGAGAAGCATCATAATTTACGCTGCAGAATTCCCCCCTTCCATCCTTTAGGCCGTTTCTACAGGGCACCTTCTAGTTTGTCAGTTGGATTGAACCCCAGTTACCTAGTGGAAACCAACTCACACATGTATCCCCCAAAATCGACTAGCATATGCATTGCTATTTCAGCTTTGCCTGGAATTCTTTTTCTCCAAACTAACCTTTCAAACTGGTTCTAGAAATAAGCTTCCCTTCCTCACATCTCCATCATCTTGGAAGAAATTAACGGGGAAAAAGGACTTTTCTGGTAACTATCTGCCAATAAAATAGCAATCTGCAACTTTCAATCACCAGTCATATTCAGGTCAAGTTTAGTTATTAATTTCTCATAAATTGTAAACATTATAATATCATTTACATATGCAAGTTTGCTTTCATAATCTAAGACCTGCTTCCAGATTTCCACCTCTGTTCCACCCATTTTGAGGTCCATGTGGCTGCACCAGCGGTAAAGGGTGTGGTGTAAGGACAGGAGAGAAGTCAGGAAAAGCCTCACTGGAGCATGGTGAGCTGGTGTTTGTGTCCTCAGTGTGGAACTCATTGCCTTTTCATGTGGGCACATTGCTGGATTTTAAAGAATAATGCCAGGCCCTGTGGCTCACACCTATAATCCCAGCACTTTAGGAGGCCATGGTGGGAGGATAGTTTGAGACCAGTCTGGGCAACATAGTGAGATCCTGTCTTTACAAAAAAAAAATTTTTTTTTTTAATTAGCCAGGTGTGGTGGTGTGCTCCTGTGGTCCCAGCTAATTGGGAGGCTGAGCAGGGAGGATCTTGTGAGCCTAGGAGTTTGCGGCCGCAGTGACCTAAGATGGTGCCACTGCACTCTGGCCTAGGTGAAAGAACAAGACCTTGGCCAGACACAGTGGCCCACGCCTGTAATCCCAGCACTTTAGGAGGCTAAGGCAGGTGGATCACCTGAGGTCGGGAGTTCGAGACCAGCCTAACCAACATGGAGAAACCCTGTCTCTACGAAAAATACAAAATTAGCCAGGTGTGGTGGCGCATGCCTGTAATCCCAGCTACTCGGGAGGCTGAGGCAGGAGAATTGCTAGAACCTGGGAGGCGGAGGTTGTGGTGAGCCAAGATCGTGCTATTGCACTCCAGCTTGGGCAACAAGAGTGAAACTCCGTCCAAAAAAGAAAAAAAAAAGAAAAGAAAAGAAAGAGCAAGACCCCAACTCTTTATTTGTATTTTTATTTTTTGAGACTGAGTTTCGCTTTTCTCACTTAGGCTGGAGTGCAATGGTGCGATCTCAGCTCACTGCAACCTCCGTCTCCCAGGTTCAAACGATTCTCCTGCCTCAGCCTCCCAAGTAGTTGGGATTACAAGTGCCCCATGCACCATCACGCCCTGCTGATTTTTGTATTTTTAGTAGAGAAAGGGTTTCACCATGTTGGCCAGGCTGGTCTCGAACTCCTGACCTCAGGTGATCTGCTGGCCTTGGCCTCCCAAAGTGCTCAGATTACAGGCATGAGCCACCGTGGCTGGCCCCATCTCTTTTTTTAAAAAAAGGATATCAACATTATGGATTAATTCATTTATTCAACAGAAATTTATTGGTTCTTAGAAACATTCCACTTTCCCAACTGCTTGGAATACTTTAGTGAACAAAACTAACAAATTCCATGCTCTCCTTAGCCTCACATTTTAATGAAGCAAGACAATAAATTGAAAGCATAATCAGGAAATTACATCCTAAGTAGATAAATACTATGAAAATATACATACTTGCATACATATTTATATACATTATCAGACCAGCAACTTAGGAAGCTTCTGGTGTGGAGGGAACAGTTGGCAGAGTAATTTTCTTATGAGTCCTCATATGGCGGTGGTATGTGGATGACTGGCGGTAGCTTCTCTTACAATAGGGACATGTATAAGGCTTTTCTCCTGTGTGGATTCTCTCATGAGACCGCAGGTTGGTTTTGTGGCTGAAGGACTTTTCACACATGCTGCATGTAAAAGGTTTCTCTCCTGTGTGAATTATCTGATGCACACGTAGGTCTGATATCTGGAAGAAGCCTTTTTGACACTTGGGACAAACAAATGGCCTCTCATTCCTGTGTCTTCTCTGGTGAGCTAATAAGTGACAGAGATACTTAAAGACCTTGGGGCATTCTTCACATTTGTATGATTTTCGGACTCCATGGGATCCTTTCTGATGTACCTCACATGTGGAGTTCCCCTTATTGCTCTGGTGGGTAGGGGCAGACTCAGGGGATGACTGCTCTGGCTGAGAGATAAACCCTGCTCCCATCTCCATAGGGACACCTTGAAAAATAATTCCGTTCGTGGACCCTTCCTGGGATCTAGCAGTGTCTAGCTCTGTTCTTCTTGAATTGTATGGGTTGTCAGAAGAAACACCTCCCTCTTTAGGCCTAGGGCCATTCTCTTCCTGGATGATGATTAGAGAAACTATTGGATTGTCTTGATTAGTATTACTTTCATTTACTTGAGTAGTTTTCAAAGAACTGTTGCAGCCATCTTGTTCATCTTCACGTCCTGTGAAAATAGACACTCACTGAAGTTGTACTCAAGAAGGGGTCCACATAGAACACCCCTCAGTTGTGCAGATTCACCTGACTTACCTTGTCCTGTTTCTGAGGAAGTGTCTTGGGAAGTCTGGAAGGGTGTCCCCATGTTTGCTTCTCTTGGGGTTTTGGCAGACACTTGTTTTGTGAGATGAACAATGACATCTTTTAAGGGCATATTGTCAGAAAAGAGAGCTTCCTGTCCCTGCATGTGGACATGGACCTGTAAAGAAAGCCAGATCACTGTAGTATCTGAATCTGTTGTGTAGCAGAAGACTTTTTGGAAAAGTGGCCCTTGACAGGCTCTCACAAACTCCCTCAAGTATTGGCTACCACATGTTTTGTCCACCATCTCTGGTGGTGTTATTCTTGTTACTATAAGCTCTTATGTTTAATAAAGTCACATGGACATTGAATTTACAAGTACTGAATCATTTCCCCTAGGAAGAATTCAGGGTTAGTTCCTGTGAGCTTCTGGCCACATTATTTTTGTCAATTGATCAATACATAAGTTTGTTTTATGTGTGTATATGTTCAAAGACACCTCATTTAATATATTTATTGATTAAGTCTGAACTCAGAGCATCCAACACACATATTATCTCTGTAATACATAGCAACTTCCTTGCATTTAGGAAGACTAGACAGTGTTTCAGCATTTTACTTCAGTGTCACTTTAAACAACAAAGTTATCAATAAAAAGCATAAAAGTGTGAAAATGTGCCACTAAATAGACTGTGAAAAGGACACTTATTTACACCATAGGAACCAAAATAGGAAGCAAGGTTGTGGCCTTGTTCAACCTCACCTGGAAACATGCACCTAAGGTGACTCAAATATTTTACCACTCTGCACATATCTGAAAATGATGGATAAGATGCCTCAGGTATTTATTTTAAGCTTACAAATAAATTTTAGCAATTTTGCAAATATGGGCTCTGAGAATAAGGATCTATTGTAATAGTTCTTTAGAATGTCTTTCTTGATTAGGGTGCCCTGACAGAAGAACCAGCTCTTGTCAAGACATTTCTTCCTCAACCTTGAGGTCTTCATTTAAATGTCAATTTCAGGCCGGTCTCACACCTGCAATCCTAGCACTTTGGGAGGCTGAGGCAGGCGGATCACTTGAGGCCAGGAGTTTGAGACCAGCCCAGCCAACATGGTGAAACCCTGTCTCTATAAAACAAAAACTAGCCGGGCTTGGTGGAGCATGCCTGTAATCTCAGCTACTTTGGAAGCTGAGGCACAAGAATGACTTGTGCCTGGGAGGCATAGGTTGCAGTGAGCCGAGATCATGCCACTGCACTCCAGCCTGGGCAACAGAAAAAAAAAAAAAACAGTCAATTTCTCTGCCATTATACAGACTAAAATTAACTTAATCAAAAATCAATATGTTTGGCTCCTATATGTCCTACAGAATAAAAAGATATATACCTTTTTGCTTTTTTTCTTGAGAACTTAGGACATTGAAGATTATCCTTTGTGAGAATGGTGGGAGAGTGTGATCTGACTAATAACTGGACCTCCAATAGCTTCTCTAACTTCCAGACAACTCTAACTGACCGTGATTTATTTCTTACTTTCCTTTGTCCCTCATCCCAGAAGTCAGAATGCTGTACTCACTAAGGCAGGTGGATTTATGATGTCATCAGTCAGGTCTTCCATGAATCTCTCCAGGTTTTTGCCACTTGATTTCCATTTCTCTTTCACAGTGGCTTTGTCATTGCAGTGGCCACCAATCATAAACTGCTCCAGGACTAACAGAGAAATAATTTCATCCTTGCTGTGCTTTTCTGGTTGCAGCCATGAGTGAAAGATCCTATAAAGTCTTTGCAATTCCTGCCTTGCATATGAATTATTGCTGTCTTGAAATGAATTGAGCATCATTCTTGAGAACTCAGAAATCCCTTCTTCTGTCTGAACAGCAGGTCCTTGACTTCGTCGAAACTCTGAATTTTCTGATCCAAGATTATTCTCGGATGGTTCATGCTGAAATATGGTTCTTAGATCTAAAGCCATTCTTAGCAATAAATCTCAGAGAGACTTAACTTTGATGATTCAGTCCCTTGAGTCTCTAGGGATTTCTTTCAACAGTTGGTAGATTCTTTAAAACTGCAAGCTAGAAATAGAAAAGAGATAAGTAATTAATTGCACCACTGGCATAATTAAAGACAAATCAACCAAAAAGTTAGGCCTAGATGGTTCTATGGATGAATTCAAAGAAATGATTATAACTTAACATAAACTCTCCCAGAGCATATAAGAGGAAGCACTACCCACTTTAGTTACTGAGGTCAGCACTTCCTGATATCAAAATTTTACAAATACATTAAAATAATCCAAAACAAAATGTTTGAAAATCAAATCTACTCACATATACATTGCAAGTGGTGTTCATTTCTAAAATGCAGTAAGTTTGGGTTAAAATTCAAAAATCAATGCAATTTACTTCGTTAACAGGATATGGCTACAAGAATGTAATAAAATCATCTCAATGAATGCATTTAAAATGTTTAAATGCCAGTGTTTATTACTGAAAAAGGCACTTAATAGACTAGAACTATTAGGAAATATCCTTGGCTGGGCACAGTGGCTCACTCCTGTAATCCCAGAACTGTGGGAGGCCGAGGAGGGTGGATCACTTGAGGTCAGCAGTTCGAGATTAGCCTGGCCAACATGGTGAGGCGCCATCTCTACTAAAAATACAAAACTTGCTGGGCATGGTGGCTCACGCCTGTAATCTCAACACTTTGGGAGGCTGAGGCAGGTGGATCACCTGAGGTCAGGATTTCTTTTTTTTTTTTTTTTTCTGAGACAGAGTCTCGCTCTGTCGCCCAGGCTGGAGTGCAGTGGCCAGATCTCAGCTCACTGCAAGCTCCGCCTCCCGGGTTCACGCCATTCTCCTGCCTCAGCCTCCTGAGTAGCTGGGACTACAGGCGCCCGCACCTCGCCCGGCTAGTTTTTTTATTTTTTTAGTAAGACGGTTTCACCGTGTTAGCCAGGATGGTCTCGATCTCTGACTCGTGATCACGTCTGGCTCCAAGTGCTGGGATACAGGCTTGAGCACCGCCCGGCTTTTTTTTTTTTTTTTGAGACAGAGTCTCACTCTGTCGCCCAGGCTAGAGTGCAGTGGCTGGATCTCAGCTCACTGCAAGCTCTGCCACCCGGGTTCACGCCATTCTCCTGCCTCAGCCTCCCGAGTAGCTGGGACTACAGGCACCCGCCACCTCACCTGGCTAGTTTTTTTTTTTTATTATTTTTTAGTAGAGACAGAGTTTCACTGTATTAGCCAGGATGGTCTCGATCTCCTGACCTCATGATCCGCCCGTCTCGGCCTCCCAAAGTGCTGGGATTACAGGCTTGAGCCACCGCACCCCGCCTCGAGGTCAGGATTTCAAGACCAGCCTGACCAATATGGTGAAACTCCATCTCTGCTAAAAATACAAAAATCAGCCAAGCATGGTGGTGTGTGCCTGTAGTCCCAGCTACTCAGGTGGCTGAGATGGGAGAGTTGCTGGAGCTGGGGAGGTGGAGACTGCAGTGAGCTAAGATCGTGCCACTGTACTCCAGCCTGGGCAACAGAGCAAGACTTCATCTAAAAAAAAAAACAACACACACACACTCACACACACACACAAAACTTAGCCGGGTGTGGTGGCACGTCCCTGTAGACCCAGATACTAGTTACTTCAGTGGCGGAGGCACGAGAATCGCTTGAACCTGGGAAGTGGAGGTGGCAATGAGCCAGGATCACGCCACTGAGTTCCTGCCTGGGTAACAGAGTGAGACTCTTTCTCAAAAAAACAAAACAAAACAAAACAACAACAACAACAACAAAAAACTTGATGTGAAAAATATTTTACAAAATAATTACAACAAAATTTATTGTTAAAAGTTTTCTGCTTCAGCTATCATCTCTATGAAACATTGGATTGCTCCCTAACCAGTGAAATAAGGAAAGAAAATATTTCAAACCTATTTATTGAGTCTTGATTTTGTTTACAAAACGTATTCAATAAATTTGGTGGGGATGTAAATCAGTTAACCTCTATGGAAAACAGATGGAGATTTCTCTGAGAACTAAAAATAGAACTATCATTTGATCCAGCTCGGTATCTACTCAAAAGAAAAGAAATGGTTATATAAAAAAGACACCTGCCCTAATATTTTGATTGCAGCACTAGTCACAAGAGCAAAGTCATGGAACCAACCTAAGAGTCTACCAGTGGTTGACTGGATAAAGAATATGTGAAATACATACCATGGAACATTATGCAGCCATAAAAAAGAATGAAATTAGTCCGTTGCAGCAACATAGATGGAGCTGGAGGCCATTATCCTAAGTGAACTAACTCAGAAACAGAAAACCAAATACCACATGTTCTCACTTATAAGTGGTAGCTAAACAGTGGGTACACATGGACATAAGGATGGAAATAGTAGATGCTGGGGACTCCACTGGGGGAGGTGGGAGGGAAATGGGTATTGAAAAATTACCCATTGAGTACAATGTTAACTATTTGAGTAATGGGTACACTAGAAGCCCGATTTCCACTAATATGCAGAATACCTTTGTAACAAACATGCGCATGTACTCCCTGAATCTAAAATAAAATAAAATATTCAACAACTAGTAGCCTACGTGAATTTAGTAAGATGTCTATTACAATGCCAATATACCAAAATGAACTGAATATTGTAATATTATGTTATCACAAACAGTTGAAATTAAAACCAAAAACCTCTTTTCACTGTGATGCCTGTAATCCCAACACTTTGGGTGGCTGAGGTGGGTGGATCACTTGAAACCAGGAGTTCAAGACCAGACTGGTCAACATGGTGAAACCCTGTCTCTACTAAAAATATAAAAATTAGCCGGACGTGGTGGTGCATGCCTGTAATTCCAGCTACTCGGGAGGCTGAGCCAGGAGAATGGCTTGCACTTGGAAGCAGACGTTGCAGTGAGTTGAGATCGGGCCACTGCACTTCAGCCTGGATAACATAGAGAAACTCCGTCTCAATAATAGAAATAGTAATCATCATCGTCATCACAATCATCATCATCAGAAAATAAAGTATTAGAAACTGAGAGTAGAAGGGTGGTTGCCAGGAGCGTGGTGGGGCATATGGGAAGATGTTGAGCAAATGGTGCAAACTTTATTTCTTTATTTTGAGACAGGGTCTCCCTCTGTCAGCCAGGCTAGAGTGCAGTGATGCCATCACTGCTTACTGTAGCCTCAACCTCCTGGGTTCAAGCAATCCTCCTGCCTTAGCTTCTTGAGTAGCTGGGACTACAGGCATGCACCACCACACTCGGCTAATTTAAAAAAAATTTTCTTTTCGAGACTTGGTCTCGCTGTTTTGTCCAGGCTGTCTTGAACTCCTGGACTCAAGTGACTGCTCCTCACTCTAGCCTTTCAAAGTACTAGGATTACAGGCATGAGCTACTATGCCTATGGCAAACTTTCTTTTATAAAATGAATATGTGGCTGGGCACGGTGACTCGCGCCTGTAATCCCAGCACTTTGGGAGGCCGAGACAGGCAGATCACTTGAGATGAGACATGGTGAAACCCTGTCTCTACTAAAAATAAAAAATTAGCCAGGCATGGTGGTGCACACCTGTAATTCTAGCTACTCGGTAGGCTGAGGCAGGAGAATCGCTTGAACCCGGGAGATGGAGGTTGCAGCGAGCCAAGATCGTGCCACTGCATTCCAGCCTGGGCGACAGAGTGAAACTCCATCTCAAAATAAATAAATAAATAAATTAATTAATTAATTAAATGTCACCATGTCATTCTCAGGCTAGGAAAAAAATGAATATTCTCTGCAGATCTGATGTACAGTATGGTGGCTATAGCTAATATATATTGTATGCTTGCAATTTGCTAGATTTTTAGTGTTCTCATGATGTAAATAAGATAATTGGCTCATGCCTGTAATCCCAGTGCTTTGGGAGGCTGAGATGGGCATATCGCTTGAGGTCAGCAATTCAAGACCAGCCTGGTAACATGGTGGATCCCCACCTCTACTAAAAATGCAAAAATTAGTTGGGTGTGGTGTCATGCACCTGTAATCCCAGCTACTTGGGAGGCTGAGGCACAAGAATTGCTTGAACCCGAGAGGTGGGGGTTGTAGTGAGCCAAGATCACACCACTATACTCTAGCTTAGGTGACAGAGCAAGACTCTGTCTCAAAAAAAAAAAAAAAAAAAGAAAAGAAAAAGAAAAAAGATAACTATGTGAGGTGATGAATATGCTAACTAACTTGATTGTGGTAATCATTTTGCAATGTATACATATAAACAGAGAGAGATGTCACATTGTATACTTAAATAGATACAGTCTTTGTCAATTATACCTCAGTAAAGCTAGGGAAAACAAGAAAAAGAGAAAGAAGAGAATAAAATACAAAAGACAAGCCAGAATCCATACAAATGACACCTTTCTCCGGTTGAAAACTTATTAGGCACAGACATCTGCAAGGCCACTACCAGCTACACCCACTGTGTTGTAAAAGGATACATTCCTTAGAAAACATTCTTAGTACCTTTACTGTTTGAATTTTTTCCCCGTTAACAGTTACTATTCCTTAGAACTTCACTGCTTTAACCAAAGCTACAATTTTATGTTTATCTGTTTTTTTTTTTTTTTTTTTTTGAGACGGAGTCTCGCTCTGCCGCCCAGGCTGGAGTGCAGTGGCCGGATCTCAGCTCACTGCAAGCTCCGCCTCCCGGGTTCACGCCATTCTCCTGCCTCAGCCTCCCGAGTAGTTGGGACTACAGGCGCCCGCCACCGCGCCCGGCTAGTTTTTTGTATTTTTTAGTAGAGACGGGGTTTCACCGTGTTAGCCAGGATGTTCTCGATCTCCTGACCTCGTGATCCGCCCGTCTCGGCCTCCCAAAGTGCTGGGATTACAGGCTTGAGCCACCGCGCCCGGCCTGTTTATCAGTTTTTACTCCCTGTCCTTTCCCACTGATGCTTAGGATTCAGAAGTAAAACTGAGTTTGCATTGCTTGAAATTGATTTATAATCCCAAATCAGATTACCTGCCTGTACACCTATAGACACACCCTTTGGAATCCTGAATGGATAAAGAATTTAATCCCTTTTCTGTTAATGTATCATAGCTATTTTTGTGGTTTTTTCCTCCAATTTTATATATGGTCAACATTTCAAAGATTTGTGCAATTTTGAAAAAAGCAAACTTCATGCCATAAAATCAGAAAATGGTGGGAGTAATACGTGGGCACACAAAAACCTAACTGATTTCTGTTAGTTAATGTTATTTCCTGCTTGTGTTAATCTCATCTGGTCTGATTAGACCAGATCTGCCACCCTGATGGCATCAGTTAATGAGGCAGAGGTGATCCTGGTGAAACCTCTTGGGAGAAAATGGAACACATTCTTGCCTTTCCCTAATCCATTTGTCATAATGCTTCCAGTCAACGTTTATAAATGCTAATTTGCTCACATCATACCCCACTCTACTCTCTGGATGGCTCCCCTTTGCCCTCAGGGAAAAGCACTGAGTCCTTGTCCTATGAGGCTTTCCTGGGCCAGCTCTACACTTCTCAATCTCCATCTTAGGTGGTGTGGCTGGTTCTCTACATGTAGGGACATTGGTCTCTCTCCCTTTGTTTTTGTTTT